ACACGCACACACACACACTCACACACACCCACACACACACGCACACTCACACACACACACGCACACGCACACTCACACGCACACTCACACACACATACACACATATACACAAACACTTGTCTGACCTCACACACAACACGTCACAACTACACACTCACACACACATACACACACATACACACACAAACACACCCACACCCACACATATTCACACAGATACACACACACACACACACACACACACACACACTCACACACGGACACACACACAAACACACACACGGACACACACACACAAACACATAAACACGCACACGGATACACACACACACACACACACACACACACACACACACACACACACACTCACCTGCAGCTGGATGTTCAGAGTCAGTTGTGGAAACAGCAAACTGCCACTACCACCACCAGCGCCTCCCCCAATGACGATCCCGCCTGAGCCTTGGTTGTGGTTGCACGGAGGGTTGCCATTGCTGCCGCCATTACCGTTGTTTCCATTACCGTTATTACCGTTATTACCAGTATTACCAGTGTTACCAGTGCTACCAGTGCTACCGGTATTACCTGTGCTACCAGTGTTACCGTTTCCGTTATTTCCATTATTCCCGTTGTTCCCATTATTTCCGTTATTTCCATTATTACCATTATTTCCATTGTTTCCGTTATTTCCATTACTGCCGGTTCCATTATTCCCATTATTTCCATTATTCCCATTGTTCCCATTATTTCCATTGTTTCCATTATTTCCATTGTTTCCGTTATTCCCGTTATTACCGTTGTTTCCATTATTTCCATTATTCCCATTATTTCCGTTATTGCCGCTTGGAATTACAATCGAAGGTTTTGGTCTAGAGCTGTTTTTGGAACCTGAAGTAGGTTTTGAATTTGGTCTTGAGGTATGCTTTGAATTTGAATTAGAATTTGGTTTTGAGGTGTGCTTCGAATTTGGTTTTGAGGTGTGCTTTGAATTTGATCCTGAGTTGTTCTTTGAATTTGATCCTGAGTTGTTCTTTGAATTTGAGTTTGAATTTGAGTTTGAATTCGAGTTTGAATTTGAGTTCGAATTTGAATTTGAATTTGAATTTGAGTTTGATTTTGAATTTGGCTTTGAGGTAGGTTTTGAACTTGGCCTCGGTCTAGAGGAGGGTCTAGAC